GTTTCACATAGTTGGTTTCTATCATACTCATATGAAAGTAGGGTCGGAAACTAAATGGATCTAATCGATACTAGTAATTTCGTGAAAAAATTAGTCAGAAGTTAAATATTAATTTCAATTTGTTCCCAAAGAAATCGAAAGAAAGTACTTCGGAAATTTAAATGAAAAAAACTTGCAACACCGAAATAAAACAATAATTCGATCAAAATTGACGAAATTCAAAATTTTCATTTATTCATTCACATATACTGTAAACTAAATAATAATCTTGATAAATTAAGTGCATTTTGTTTAGTTTTTTTTAGAAATTTTCAAAAACTAAAAATGGAGTAAAAAATAGAATCTTGTAATATTACAATTCAAATTAAAAAAATCGAAAAACATCCTCTCTCTCTCTCTCCTTTTGTTTCTCTTCTTTTAATTTGAATAGCTCCATTCATACTCAGAAAGTTAGATACTACACCTGATTATTTACAGATTATTTACATCGGGCGTATCTACTAGATAAAATCCAGACACGATAAACAATTTCGTCTTTTTTTTTTTTTTTTTTTTTTTTGATAATGCAGGAACCCGCAGCCAACCATATAGGTGCACTGGGTAAACCTACACTCTCGTATAATAGCTTGCAAACCATACGAGAGATGTAAACCACACTAGGCTAACCATGTGTGACAAGCTCGACCTAGCGACCGTTGGCAAGGGGATTCGAACTTGGGTCAATTGACCCAAGCTCTCTTGCTCCAACCGCTAGGCCACCCTTGCGGGTAATTTCGTCTTTACTCTTTTGGATAGAGTGGATCTATAATATCTATGCCTATATTTATGCCACTAGATTCACAAAATATATATAGGAGTAAAACTAAATATAATCCAGCCAATCAAATTTCATTTTCTAAATTAAATCAATATTAAAAATAAAAAAATAAAAAAAAAAAAAAAAAAAATTCCCCGCCCACCCACACCAGCCACCCACCCACGCGCTTCGAAGTGGCAATCCTCCTCTGAAAATGGCGGTCCACTGACTATACCCCATTTTTCAGCCATGCATGAATGAATGAATTCCCACCCCCACTCCTATTAATCCTTTTCACCCCCACTCC